CACAGTCAAAAGCCTTTGCATAATCAGTGAAGCACAGATAGACATTCTTCTGGTATTCTCTGATTTCTGCCAAGATCCATCCAACATTAGCTATAATATCCCTAGTACCACGACCTCTTCAGGTCCATAGGAAGTAAATTAACATACTGTAACTTAATAATCTCCTTAAGGTGTGATTAAAACAAATCTGATAGTCCTTTGAGTTTGTCTTAATAACATGCAGCCTCAGCAGGTCCAGTTTGTAAGCTCAGTGTTTTCAAACATGTTATAATCTGTTCATAGGTCAGTGCTGTCCCACTGGGGCAGCTGTTCAGCTTGCACTTACCCTTTAAAAAGATTTTAAAGTATAATGACCAACACTTTATGATGAGACAGCATAAGGGAAAGTTTTAAATGGCTTATATCATATGCTCTCACTTCTGCTAAAACGTGCCTCTCTGCAGGCTTAAAATATAACACGGGGTCAGGTGGGGGGAAGGGAGATGTAATCTGAGTCTTTCTGGGATATCACCTTTCAGGAAGCAATTTGATCTTTATTCTCAATTGTTTTCAGACAAATAACTCCTGAGACAAAGAAGTGAGGGCTGAGCAGACCTAGCAGGACTGCCTGAAGCTCAGTATTGAGCAAGGTATGATGTAATTTATCATGGTGGAAACTGATTTGCACCTGAAATCTAAGGCTCGGAATGAGCTTCCTGATTCGTCACCATGGCAGTATGTGTCCTCAGACATGGAAGCTCCGGGATGAAACCTCATCTTATGTATATCTTTATTTGTATCCTTTTTGATTGTAATAAAACAGTAGCCCTAAGTGCCATGTATGTTCTGTGTCTCCTGCGAGTTATCTCAGTTTTTGTTGTTATGTGCCATCGAGTCCCTTGCGACTCATAGCGACCCTAAGTACAACAGCCCTAAACCCTGCTCTATCCTGTGACAATCTCATTGCCTCTGACACCCCCATCCTGATTACCCCAGTCACCAAATCAATCCATCTCATAGAGGGTCTTCCCCTCCTGCGCTGTCCCTCCACCCTCCCAAGCATGATGTTCCTCTCTAAGGACTGGTCCCTCTTTACAACATGTCCAAAGTATGTCAGATGAAGCCCCAGAATCCTTGCCTCCAAGAGGCAACCTGGTTTAACCCTCTCCAGGATGAACCTGTTTGTTTTCTTGGAATATTCAATACTCTTCTCCAGCACCACAGCTCAAAGGCATCAATTCTCCTTCTAGTTATCTCAGAGCATTAACAGAGCAGTGATAGAGAGAATCAATAGGGGTGGAGACCTGCCTAGTTGACAATATGACCTAACTCTGGGTGACTAAGGTTCCAGAAATGCTGCATAGACAACTGACCCGAAACAGTGTCTATCTAACTTGTGGCTTATGGGAGACAGAGAGGCAACAAGAGAGGAGACATGGGAAGGTGCGCACTGGATCCATCTGCACATTGTGAGGGGCAGATTTAAGCTGATCCTGGTGGCTTAGTGGTAAGGCATTGTGCTTCCATCTTAAAGGCAGATGGTTCAAATCCACCAGTTGCTCTCTGGGAGAAAGTTGGGCAATCTCCTCCCTTGCCATTAACTGCTTCTGAAAAATCCACCGAAGAATTCTCTCTACGTCAGTTCTGACTCAACGGTACACAACAACAACAACCAGTAATGACAGTGGGATTTGTCTCCTTTTGCCCCTTGCTCCCAGCACTTCCCCTTACTTCCTGACATTAGCCAATCTTTCTACTTTGAATAAAGTGAGGGAGACTTGACAAGGCTGTGAGACCCTTTTAAATTCCTAAATAGTAAGGGAGCTCTAGTGGCCTAGTGGCAAGAAGCTGCACTGCAATCCCAGAGGTATGTGGTTCAAATCCACTAGATTCTCTGCTGGAGAAGGAGGGGCAATCTCCTCCTGTACCAGTCAGATCTGATTTGATGGTACACACACAAAATAAAATAAACTTAAAAAAAAAAGTCTAAATCCCTGGTTAGTAAAGGGACCAGAGGAGAAGAGTTTCTAATTTCTACCCACACTGCACTTAACAGAGGTATTACTTTAAGACAAAACTCTCCTTCATGCTGCCATTACATTTGGAGATGTGATGGATTCTAAATCTTCCCAGTAATAATGGTTGCCTGTAGAGAAGGCAACTCGGTGTTTGGAAGCCTGGACAGGTAGAGAAACTTACTACTGTGCATCTTTTTGTGTTTTGGGTCCTGGAACCACGTAAATGTTTAAAACACACTTTGTTGTTGTTGTTGTTTAAAACACACTTTAAAAAAAAAATTCAAACTTACTGCCATTGAGTCAATTATGACTCCTAGTAGTCCTCCAGCGGGTTCTGAGGCTATAAATAATAAGGGAAGGAGAAGGACCAACTTCATCTCAAGGACCAGCTGGTAGATTGAAACCACTGGAGATTCTTGGATTTTTGGCTACCAGTGCAAGAGCTATGGACTACACCACCAGAGAATTTCATTATAACACAAATTAACATAAAGATGACAGATTAAAAAGGAGGGAAATCCAGATTTATAGCTTCTCGGAAAAGGGTGCAATTCTTGTAGCATAGTGGTAATGGACTGTACTGCCAATCCAAAGGTATGTGGTTCGAATTAAATAGCTTCTCTGCAAGAGAAAGATGGACAATCTCCTTCTGTGCAATTTATTGTCTCTGAACATCTGCTGGAAGGTCAGCTATGGGAAGTTACCAATTCAATGATACACAACAATTTGAAAACAGGAGAACCCTGCATCAAAGAACTTTAGTGTGGAGTTATGCTGATATCAAACGCACGGAGCAGTACCGATTTCTGTCTGGTAGTCCCTGAGAGAATTGCAATCATACATCTCCTGTCCCTGCGGGGTCCGGAGGCAGTAGATGCTCACAGGGAAGCCACATCTCAGAGTTACCAGTGTTCTCAGCTCGGACACGTTTTTATCAAAAAGAGAGAAGCTCTCCATTATGGGCATTGTTTCCTGTGTGACAGCGTTGAACACGTAGAGAGTTGGTTTGTCTTCTTCCTAAGAGAAAAAATGCAGCCCATCAACAAGCGAATGGATAGAGAAGCTGTGGTATAGTCACACAATGGATCACTATGCTGCATTGAAAAACAAGGAACTCATGCAATATTATACAAAATGGGTGACCCTGGTGGCAAGAAGCTGCACTGCAATTCCAGAGGTGCGTGGTTCGAATCCACCAAATGCTCTGCTGAAGAAGGAGGGACAATCTCCTCCTGTACCAGTCAGATCCAATTTGATGGTACACACATAAAAAAGAATAAAAATAATAAAAATAATTTTTAAAAATGCGTGACCCTGGAGGACAGACATTATGCTGAGGGAAATATGTCGATCACAAAAGGACAAATATTGCATAGGGCCACTGTCATGAAATGGAACTGACATCGGGGTTGAGGGAAGACAGAGAAAGAGAGAAGGAATAATGTACACTGCATTGAAACAGATGAGGGAGAGAACTTGTTTAAAAGGGATATATGACTAGGTATTACTGTCATGACAGGAGTCCAGAATGAAGGCTGTACAGTGCAGTGGATTTGGGGGGGGAGGGATTGTATAACAATGAAATAATTTTACTTTTCAAGAAGAGTGAATTGGGGGAGGGGGTGGGCAGGGAGAAAAGTGCAACAATGAATGAATGGAAACCCTAAGTCTCTGTAAACTTTCATTAAAATTGATTTTAAAAATGTTAAAAAAGAGAAAAAGTATTCAAGAATAAGTGCGTCAGGAGAAAGAGATGAGTCATGGATGTTTTGTTGTTGTTAATGTACCATCAAATTGAAACTGACTCATAGCTGATCTTCTAGAAGATTTTCAGAGGCTGTAAATTGTGGGAAAGGAGACTGCATCTTTCTCCAGCAGAGCAGCTGTGGGATTTGTACCCTGTTCTTTGAGTTCAGAGCATACTGCTTACTATTTAGCCTCCAGAGCATGAATGTTTTAAAGGATGACTATGATTGTGCCAATTGTCAGCATCATGATATATGGTGAAGAGATTAAGCCAACTTCAGTTTGCTTGGCTCTGTAATCAATATGTTTGGTACCAGCAGACAGAACATCGAAAGATGAATTGCAGTGGGGAAATCTGCTTTCAGGGATCTCTCCAGAGTACTCAAGAGCCATGATGTCATTCTAGAGACTAAGGTGCCCTTGATCTGGGCCATGGTCTTCTAACAATTACTTGCTATACATTAGAAAGCTGGACAATGACTAAGGATGGTAGAAGGAGGATTGAAGCCTTTGAGCTGTGGTGCTGGAGAAGAGTATTGAATATACCATGGGCTGCTAGGAGAACAAACAGGTTCATCTTGGAGGGAGTGAAACCAGGCTGCTCTTTGGAGGAAAGGATTTTGAAGCTTTGACTGACATACTTTGTGCATGTTGCAAAAAGGGACCAATCTTCAAAACAACTGTGAGATATTATCTCACCCCAGTAAGAACAGCAAAATTTAACAGAATAGCAAGCAACAAATGCTGGTGAGTTTGTGGAGAAAATGAAACCCATATGCACTGTTGGTGGAAGTGTAAACTGGTGCAACCACTGTGGAAAGTAGTGTGGCGCTTTCTCAAAAAGTTGAAAATAGATACCATTTGACCCAGCAATTCTACTACTGGGAATATACCCTAAAGAGACCATAACCGACATCCAAGCAGATATATGCACACCCATGTTTATCGCAGCTTTGTTCACAATAGCAAGGAGCTAGAAACAACCTAAGTGCCCATCAACAAACCAATGGATAGAG